ATAATAAAAAAAATATTGCTACCTACCCTGGGTTATCCTGGGTGGATAACACTCCCTGCCCTGGGTTATCCTGGTTGGGTAACACTCTCTACCCCAGGTTATCCTGGGTGGCTAACACTCCCTTGCCCAGGTTATCCTGGGTGGCTATCCTTCCCTAGCCTGTGTTATCCTGGGTGGCTAACCCTCGCTGCCTTGGGATATCCTGGGTGGCTAATCCTCCCTATCCTGGGTTATCCTCAGTGGCTAACACTCCCTACCCTGGGTTATCCTTGGTGGCTAACCTATCCTGGGTTATCCTGGTTTGCCCACACTCTCTACCCAGGGTTATCCTGAGTGGATAACACTAACTACCCCAGGTTATCCTGGGTGGCAGCAATCCATTGCCCAGGTTATTCTGGATGGCTAACACTCCCTACCCCAGGTTATCATGGGTGGCTAGCACTCTCTACCCCAGGTTATCCTGGGAGGCGAACACTCCTTACACTGGGTTATCTTTGGTGGCTAACACTCTCCTCACCAGGTTATCATGGGTGGCTATAACTCCCTACCCTGGGTTATCCTAGGTGACTGACACACTCTACCACAGGTTATCTTGGGTGGCTAACCCTCCCTACCCTGGGTTATCCTTGGTGGCTAACTCTCCCTTCCCTGGGTGGCTAAGGCTCCCTACCTTGCATTATCCTGGGTGACTAGCACTCCTTACCCCAGTTTATCCTGGGTGATACACAAATAAGCCGCACATAGAAGAGAGGAGCTTATGACGACATTTCGGTCCGACTTGGACCATTTACAAAGTCACACTAACTAGAAGTAGAGCAGGATGGGTATATATAGGCAGGAAGAGGTAGTGGTAGTAGTAGTAGTAGTAGTGGTGGTAGTAGTAATAGTGGTAGTAGTCGTGGCAAAGATGGAAGGAAGTAGTAATGGGGAAGAAAGGAGAGCACTGCAAGGGAGCTAGGTGCCCACAGAGGGAGAGCAAGAACACAGAGGTGGGTGGGAGGGGAAATAATGAAATAAATAATGAAGGAACAGAAACACAAGACAGAAGAAAGAAAGACAACCCAGAGGAGAAAAAAAGAAAGAGGAAAGGGGAAGAGGGAGAAGAAGAAAAGAGGAGGAATCAGGTTAAGTCACGGGTGTTCTGAAGTTTGGAGCATTTTACAATGTAGTGGGAGAGGAAGGCATCTACAGAGAAGAAGGCAGGACTAAGATTCATACAAGGAAAGTTGTGTATTAGGGATGATTCAACCAGACGGCGACTGTTAAAGTTGGAAGTAAGGAAGACAGTTTTAGCAGAAGACCAGTCAATAGGATGGCTGTGATCTCTGACGTGACAGAAAAGAGCATTGTTAGTGTCGGCAAGCCTAACACTGTTTTTGTACTCCCTAAGTCTGTCAGAAAGAGATCGGTCAGTTTCTCCAAAGTATTGAAGAGGACCGGAGCAGCAAGAAATAGAGTAGACACCAGAAACATCTGTAGAGGGAGGAGAGGTATGAACGAGATTAGTGTGAAGAGTGTTAGTCTGGCGGAAAGTAAGCTTGATGTTTAAGGGACGGAGAGAATTTTTGAGATTAGAAAGACCGGAATTGTAGGGAAGGCAGAGGACAGAGGAGTTCCCAGGAGTAGAGTTTGGGAGAGAAGAAATTACGTTTAGCATGTGAGAGGGCAGAGTCTATGAAATGGGAAGGGTAGCCAAGACGGGAAAACGAATTATGAAGAGTGGAAATTTCTGTTGGAAGGAACTGAGGATCACAGATGCGGAGGGCGTGGAGAAAGAGGGAGATAAGAACACTTTTCTTCACAGGGGAAGCATGATAGGAAAAGTAGTGAATGTACATGCCACTGTGCATAGGTTTGCGGTAAACGGAAAAGGAAAAACCTGTATCTGAGCGGTGGACATGAACATCAAGACTCACGAAATCGTAACGACACGATTGCAAACAAACCATACTACGGGCGGGATTTGAACCAGCGGTCAGAGAGTCATGTTGACGGCAGTTAGGGGACTTCAGCTAGAGTTCATCACGGCCACGCTAGCTGGAGATTCGTCTGTAAAAAGTTGCATTTGTGGTCACAGTGGTGCCTATGCTAACCTTCCTATGGTGTAGAAATATACCTAGTTGGACGAATCTTATTGTAGCTAGCTGGTCCAGTGGCTAACGCGATGGTCTGGAGTTTTGAGACTTCCTGACCGCGGGTTCAAATCCCGCCCGTGGTATGGTTTATGAACGTCAAGGAAAGGAAGCAAGGAATTAGATTCCCATTCAGCTTTAAACTTAATAGAAGGGGCAAGATTATTAAGAGCATCAAGAAAAGGTTGGAAGAGACTTGAGTCATGAGGCCACAGAGCAAAGATGTCATCCACATAGCGGAGCCAGAGTGAAGGGTGCACATCGATAGTAGGAAGAAGAACAGTCTCAAAGCATTCCATGTAAAGATTAGCAAGGACAGGAGAGAGAGGAGGGCCTGTAGCGACACTGAAGGTTTGAGAATAATATTTCCCTTGGAAGGAAAATGAATTAGAGTCCACACAGAGGTGGATAAGATCAAGAAAGACATCAGTAGGTATAGGGAGATGAAGAAACCCTTCATGGGCCTTCTCTCTAAGAAAATCAAGGACATCATCAAGAGGGACATTGGGGAAGAGGGACTCAGCATCAAGACTAAGCATCTTACAGGTCGGGAGAGAGTGAACCCATTCAATGAAGTCTTGAAAGTGACGGGGTTGGGCAGGAGAAAAGTACCAAGAAATGGAGTGAGGGTTTTGGCCAGCCAAGAAGCAAAAGAATAAGAGACAGAACCTCTAGAGGATATGATAGGACATAGAGGAATATCAGGTTTATGAGTTTTGGGAAGGCCATAGAAATAGGGAAGAGAGGGACAGATGACACGAAATCGTTGAACAAGGTCAAAGTCAGGAGGACAGAGGTTGGAGAGAGTCCTTAGTTTCTTGTTGAAAGATCTCTTGATGCGATCAAGAGGGTTGGAAACGAGAGGAGTGTAGGTACGTGAGTCAGAGAGCAAAACATCAGCTTTACGGAGGTAATCCTCGCAATCAAGGATAACCACTGAATTACCTTTGTCAGAAGATAGTATGACAGTGTTAGATTTAAGAGAAGAAAGGGCAAGTTGGTAATGGCATGGAAGGTGGTGATTCTTAGAAAACAGACTATCAAAAGCAGGAAGGAGAGCGCCACGAAAAGTGGACAAGTCAGGAAGATTATGGGAGCGAGACTGACGAAAAGAATCAAAAGAGCTAATCAGGGCAATACCAGCGCAAGGGGCAGGTGAAGTGGCAAAGGAAAGGCCAAAACCAAGAAGTTCAAGCTCATATTGAGAGAGTGAGACAGAAGACAAGTTAGTAACACAGTCACCGAGGGAGAATTTAGACCAAGGGCTAGCTGAGATGAGACGTTGAAGTTTATTCTGTAGTTTAGAAGAATGAATTTGTGCATTCAGGTGAGCAGTGTCAAAGGCAATGGTAGAGAGAAGGTTACAGAGATCTTGTGGTAAAGCCGCAAAGAGAGCACATTGACATTTATGGAAAGTAAAGAATGCATCTTCAACCTGAGACTTAGTAGAAAGAATGAGCTGTTGAAGTAGGATATGGGCATGATCAGGAAAGGGAGTGCCCAGTGGGTTGGGTTTCAGGCAATGGGAAAAGGAAGGTGGCAGAACTTGTTCAGCAAGACAGTCACGTAGGAAGCGAAGCTGATTCTTATGACGCCGGGGTTATCCTGGGTGGCTAACACTCTCTGCCCTTGATTATTCTGGGTGGATAACACTCCCTACCTTGGGTTATCCTGGGTGGCTATCACTCCCTATCCTAGGTTATCCTGGGTGGCTAACATTCCCTACCCTGGGTTATTCTGGGTTGATAACACTCCCTACCCTGGGTTATCCTGGGTGGGTATCACTCCCTATCCTAGGTTGTCCTGGGTGGCTAACACTCCCTACTCTGGGTTATTCTGGGTTGATAACACTCCCTACCCTGGGTTATCCTGGGTGGGTATCACTCCCTATCCCAGGTTGTCCTGGGTGGCTATCACTACCTATCCTAGGTTATCCTGGGTGGCTAACATTCCCTACCCTTGGTTATCATTGGTGGCTAGCACTCCCTATCCTGGGTTGTCCTGGGTGGCTAGGATTCCCTGCCCCTGGGTTATCTTGGGTGGCAAGCACTCTTTACCCCAGGTTATCCTTGGTGGCTAATGCTCCCTATCCTGGGTTATCTTGGGTGGCTAATGCTCCCTACCCTCGGTTATCCTGGGTGGCTAGCACTCCCTACTCTGTTATCCTGGGTGGCTAACACTCCCTACCCTATGTTATCCTGGGTGGCTAACATTCCCTAACCTATGTTATCCTTGGTGGGTAACACTCCCTACCCTGGGTTATCCTGGGTGGCTAAAACTCTCTCCCCCAGTTTATCCTGGGTGGCTAACACTCCTTACCCTTAGTCATCCTGCATGGCAAACATTCCCTACCCTGGGTTATCTTGTGTAGCTAACCCCCCCTACCCTGGGTGGCTAACACACACTCCCCCAGTTTATCCTGGGTGGCTAACACTCCCTACCCTTAGTCATCCTGGGTTTCTAACACTCCCTACCCCACATTATCCTTGGTGGTTATCACTGCATACCCTGTGTTATCCTGTGTGGTTAACCCTCCCTATCCTGGGTTTCTGACTCCCTCTACCTTGGGTTACCCTGGGTGGCTAACAGTCCCTACATTGGGTTATCCTAGGTGGCTAACCCTCCCTACCCTGGGTTATCCAGGGTGGCTAACTCTCCCTACTCTGGGTTATCCTGTGTGGCTAACCCTCCCTACCCTGGGTTATCCTGGGTTGCTAATGCCCCTGGGTTAAAAATCCAAACTAATCTTAAATTTTCTCATCTCATACAAATTTTGAATGAATTTTTAGACCTTTTTATATAAATAAAAAGAGCATCTTTGCCTCTTTCTTAGAAGCTCTTATAGACTAATTTTCTCTTTTTCTTCAGCCAAAATCCACACTAGGTTTTGTTCAAAGGTTGAAGGGCAAAGCAGGTCGCTTCAGAGGTAATCTGTCTGGAAAACGAGTGGATTTCTCTAGCAGAACTGTTATATCACCAGATCCCAACCTCAGAATCAGTGAGGTAAGACTAGCCTACCATTGTGGAACTGTTGTGATTGTAATTCAGCCTTATTGTTGTTGGACTCCGTGTGTGTGTGTGTGTGTGTGTGTGTGTGTGTACTCACCTATTTGTACTCACCTATTTGTGGTTGCAGGGGTCGAGTCACAGCTCCTGGCCCCGCCTCTTCGCTGATTGCTACTAGGTCCTCTCTCTCCCTGCCCCATGAGCTCTATCATACCTCGCCTTAAAACTATGTATGGTTCCTGCCTCCACCACATCACTTTCTAGGCTATTCCATGGCCTGACTACTCTATGACTGAAGAAATACTTCCTAACATCCCTTTGATTCATCTGAGTCTTCAACTTCCAATTGTGACCTCTTGTGTCTGTGTCCCATCTCTGGAACATCCCGTCTTTGTCCACCTCGTCTATTCCGCACAGTATTTTATATGTCGTTATCATGTCTCCCCTGACCCTCCTGGCCTCCAGTGTCGTCAGGCCGATTTCCCTCAACCTTTCTTCATAGGACAATCCCCGTAGCTCTGGGACTAGTCTTGTTGCAAACCTTTGCACTTTCTCTAATTTCTTGACGTGCTTGACTAGGTGTGGATTCCAAACTGGTGCTGCATACTCCAGTATGGGCCTGACGTAGATGGTGTACAGAGTCTTAAACGAATCCTTACTGAGGTATCGGAACGCTATCCGTAGGTTTGCCAGGCGCCCGTATGCTGCAGCAGTTATCTGATTGATGTGCGCCTCAGGAGATATGCTCGGTGTTATACTCACCCCCAGATCTTTTTCCTTTAGTGAGGTTTGCAGTCTTTGGCCATCTAAACTATATTGTGTCTGTGGTCTTCTTTGCCCTTCCCAATCTTCATGACTTTGCATTTGGCAGGGTTAAATTCAAGGAGCCAGTTGCTGGACCAGGCTTGTAGCCTGTCCAGATCTCTTTGTAGTCCTGCCTGATCCTCGTCCGATTCGATTCTTCTCATTAACTTCACATCGTCTGCAAACAAGGACACTTCTGAGTCTATCCCTTCCGTTAGGGTCGTTCACGTATACCAAGAACAGCACAGGTCCTAGGACTGACCCCTGGGGAAAACCCCCGCTTGTCACAGGCGCCCACTCTGACACCTCGTCGCGTACCATGACTCGTTGTTTCCTCCCTGTCAGATATTCTCTGATCCATTGCAGTGCCTTTCCTGTTATGTGTGCCTGGTCCTCTAGCTTTTGCAGTAACCTCTTGTGAGGAACTGTGTCGAAAGCCTTCTTGCAGTCCAAAAATACGCAGTCGATCCACCCTCTCTCTCTTGTCTTACTTCTGTCACCTTGTCATAAAACTCTAGTAGGTTTGTGACACAGGATTTTCCTTCCCTGAAACCGTGCTGGTTGTCAATTATACACTTGTTTCTTTCCAGGTGCCCCACCACTCTCCTCCTGATGATCTTCTCCATGACCTTGCATACTATACACATTAGGGATACAGGTCTGTAGTTTAGTGCCTCATGTCTGTCTCCCTTTTTAAAAATTGGGACTACGTTTGCCATTTTCCATACCTCAGGGAGTTGCCCAGTTTCAAATGATGTGTTGAAGATCTTTGTTAATGGCTCATACAATATCTCTGCTCCCTCTTTAAGGACCCATGGAGAGATGTTGTCTGGTCCACCGCCTTTGAGGTGTCAAGTTCGCATAGCAGCTTCTTCACCTCCTCCTTGGTTATATGTACCTCATCCAGCACTTGCTGGTGTGCCCCCCTGTTCTGATTTCTTGGAGTCCTACTGGTTTCCACTGTAAATACCTCTTTAAATCTTGTGTTGAGCTCCTGACATACCTCTCGGTCGTTTCTTGTGAATTCCCCATCACCCTTCCTCAGTCTGATTACCTGGTCCTTGACTGTTGTTTTCCTCCTGATGTGGCTGTACAACAGCTTCGGGTCAGTCTTTACTTTTGATGCTATGTCATTTTCATATTGTCTCTGAGCCTCCCTTCTTATCTGTGCATATTCGTTTCTGGCTCTTCGCTGATTTCTTTATTTTCCTGAGTTCTCTGTCTTCTGTACCTTTTCCATTCTCTAGTACACCTAGTTTTTGCCTCCCTACACCTTTGGGTGAACCAAGGACTCGTTCTGTTCTTCCCATTATTTCTGTTTCCCTTGGGAACAAACCTCTCCTCTGCCTCCTTGCATTTTGTTGCTACATAGTCCATCATTTCTTGTACTGGTTTTCCTGTCAGTTCCCTCTCCACTGAATGTCTTGAAGGAAGTTCCTCATGCCTGAGTAGTTCCCCCTTTTGTAGTTTGGTTTTTCCCAGCCTATTCCTGCTACTCTCTCCACTTGGAGCTCAACTATGTAGTCGAAGCACAGAACCACATGATCACTAGCTCCCAGGGGCCTTTCATACATGATACCCTCGATGTCCGAACTACTCATGGTGAATACAAGGTCCAACCTTGCTGGTTCATCCTCTCCTCTCTCTCTGGTGGTGTCTCTAACATGTTGATGCATGAGGTTCTCCAGTACCACATCCATCATCTTGGCTCTCCATGTTTCGGGACCCCCATGGGGCTCCAGGTTTTCCCAGTCAATCTCCTTGTGATTGAAATCACCCATAACTAGTAACTTTGCTCCCCCCATGTGTGCTCTCCTGGCCACCTCGGCTAGTGTGTTGATCATTGCTCTGTTGCTCTCATCGTATTCTTCTCTTGGCCTCCTGCAGTTCTGTGGTGGGTTGTACATTACTGCAATTATCACCTTATGTCCCTCAGACTGGATTGTTCCTACTAAGTAGTCCCTTTCGCCCATGCCATCCATTCCTTCCATTTTCTCAAAACCCCACTGGTTTTTACTGAGCAGTGCAACTCCTCCTCCCCCTCTCCTCCCTCTGTGTGTGTGTGTGTGTGGTGTGTGTGTGTTTGTGTGTGTGTTTGTGTTTGTGTGTATGTGTGTGTGTGTGTGTTTGTGTGTGTGTGTGTGTGTGTGTGTGTGTGTGTGTGTGTGTGTGTGTGTGTCTGTCTGTCTTTGTGTGTGTGTGTGCGTGTTTGTGTGTGTGTTTGTGTTTGTGTTTGTGTTTGTGTGTGTGTGTGTGTGTGTGTATGTGTATGTGTGTGCGCGCATGTGTGTGCGTGCGTGCGCAATGACTTGTGTGAGCAGAAATAAGCTGTGTTGGTGTTTAAACCTTGAGTAGAAAAGTCACAGTACTGAGAATGCACCAACTCACAATTGACTCAGTATTGGAGATAATTGTTGACACAACATTATAGTTTATTCTGGACCACCACTATTGGTTCATGGGATGGCTATTGGTTCCTGGATTGCTATTGGTTCATCTTGGACCACTGTTGGTTCATCCTGAACTGCTGTTGGTTTATCCTGGACAGCTATTGATTGTTGTTGTTGGGGTTTATAGGGCAGCTGACAGCATACAGCGACCGCTGTTGGTTCACGGGATGGCTGTATTGGTTCATCCCAGACCGCTGTTGGTTTAGGGGGATAACTATAACGGTTCATTCTGGACCATTGTTGGTTCAGGTCAAGACTATAATAGTTCATCCTGGACCAGTGTTGGTTCAGGTCAAGACTATAATGGTTCATCCTGGACCATTATTGGCTCAGGTGAAGACTATAATGGTTCATCCTGGACCATTATTGGCTCAGGGCAAGACTATAATTGTTCATCCTGGACCAGTGTTGGTTCAGGTCAAGACTATAATGGTTCATTCTGGACCATTGTTGGTTCAGGTCAAGACTATAATGGTTCATCCTGGACCAGTGTTGGTTCAGGGCAAGACTATAATGGTTCATCCTGGACCATTATTGGCTCAGGTCAAAACTATAATGGTTCATTCTGGACAAGTAGTCTTCTCACTGATAGTCTACAGTAGTAAAGTAGTCTTAACACTGATGGTTTACAATAGTGAAGAGTTTCATTCAGGGGCTGGAGTAACATACGTTAGTCTTCTCACTTTCTCTTCTCCGTCTCCCTGAATTTGTAACATTTATTCATGATTAAAACTCTGTACATTTTTACTTCACAAATTAAAACATAGGTCACAATTTTTCCAAATCTAAAAGATTCACTGCTTATAATGCTGTTGATAAATTTGACATGTGCAACACTTGGGTATCTTTATTGTCGAAATGTTTTACCACACGGTAGCAAAACATTTCCACAGTGAAGATATCCATGTGTTGGAAATGTGTCTTAATTTATCAACTTGTTGGTTTTCTGAATCTTTTATCTACATTAAAATGCTGCTGCTGCTGCAGGTTGGTGTTCCAGTAGAGGTGGCCAAACAGTTGACATATCCTGAGAAGGTTACCACACACAACATCCAGTTGATGAGACAACTGGTGATAAACGGTCCTGATGTTCACCCAGGGTCTGTCTTTCTGGAGTCCAGGTCCAGCCCCGGCATCAAGAAGTCACTCAAGTATTCACACAGGCAGAGGCTAGCTGCTCACCTCCTGCCAGGAGACACCCTTGAGAGGTGAGTATATGTACCCTTCAGAGGTGAGTACATGTACCCTTCGGAGGTGTATGCTTGAGATGTGATGATAGATATGACTATTTCTATTATTGTATTACAGTTGTATTTCTATTATTGTATTACAATGGATCATAGATTCTGACAGTTGGTTTATTTTGCTCTCAACATTTTCCAACAATCTTGTTTGATGTGACGCCTGACATACATATTATTTTTTTTATTAACACATCTGCCGATTCCCACCACGGCAGGGTGGCCCGAAAAAGAAAAACTTTTATCATCATCATTCACTCCATCACTGTCTTCCCAGAGGGATGCTTTACACTACAGTTATAAAACTGCAACATTAACACCCCTCCTACATAATATACACTTGGAAAATCCTAGAGGGACTAAAGCCAAATCTGCACATGGAAATCTGCAGATGGAAATCACTCCCTATTAATCCCTTAACTATCCACTTGTACCATTGTTTGTAATAATGTAATTTTTTTAAACTAACTTTAAACTTTTAATTACTCTACTCACCATAAATCATCAAAGTTCCATATAATTATCTGTTATTGCTTTACTAAACAAAACAATGTTGTTGTTGGAGGTTTACAGGGCCACTGGCATCATGTGCCACAGTCTCAACCTTCCCCATTCTCAACCTCCCCCACCCTCAACCTCCTCCACCCTCAACATCCCCCACCCTCAACATCCCCCACCCTCAACCTCCTCCACCCTCAACATCCCCCACCCTCAACTCCTCCACCCTCAACCTCCTCCACCCTCAACATCCCCCACCCTCAACCTCCCCCACCCTCAACCTCCCTCACCCTCAACCTCCCCCACCCTCAACCTCCCTCACCCTCAACCTCCCTCACCCTCAACCTCACCCACCCTCAACCTCCTCCACCCTCAACATCCCCCACCTTCAACATCCCCCACCCTCAACATTCCCCACCCTCAACATCCCCCACCATCTCTGCTCCAAGTGTGTAAGTTCATATACACTTTATATAAACAGTTTAACATTTCTTTACATTCTGTAGTGTATTACGATTTATTATGTTTTTATGTATAATATTTCTGCAATTAGTCTCACAAATATGTCATTTTCTCTTACAATAAGAGCATGGGAAGATACTACAGTGGACCCCCGGTTAACGATTTTAATCCGTGCAAGAGGGCTCATCGTTATGCGAAATAATCGTTATGCGAATTAATTTTCCCCATAAGAAATAATGGAAATAAAATTAATCCGTGCAAGACGCCCAAAAGTATGAAAAAAAAATTTTTTTACCACATGAAATGTTAATTTTAATACACACAAACTGAAAAAGGCATGCACAATTACATGACACTTACTTTTATTGAAGATCTGGAGTATTGATGGGATGGAGAGAGAAAGCGGAGCATTATCTTCTTACTGTTAGAAGGGGAATCCCCTTCCATTAGGACTTGAGGTAGCAAGTCCTTTTTCTGGGGTTATTCCCTTCTTCTTTTAATGCCACTGAACAGCATTCAAGTCACTGGACTCTGTCGCACAACAAATCTGTCCATAGAGCTCTGTACCTCCCGTTTCTTCAAGACTTTCCTAAAATGGGCCATAACATTGTCATTGAAATAGTCACAAACACGGCTTGCAACAGCTGTGTCAGGGTGATTTTTCATCTATAAAGGTTTGCAGTTCAAACCACCATGCACAATTTCCTTATCTTTGAAGTAGGCACAATGGATTCCACAACTGGCATAGGCTTCTCAGGGATAGCCCCAAACCCTTCAAAATCATTTCTTAATTTCCATACTAATTCACACCTTTTTACCACAGGTTTGGCATAGAAGCTTTCTTGGGGCCCATGGTCACTTATTTTCCAGAAACACCACCGAAAACACTGTAATAATACTAGAATAATTCCGAGTGTATGCTTGGATGTTACCGCGGAGGCTGGCTGGTAAACAATGGGACGGCCGGCACATGTGAGGGCACATTGGACGCGTCTCAGACGAAAATCGGTATGCGGGTTTTTAATCGGTATGCGGGGCAAAAATTTTGCGATAAAAGTAATCGTTATGCGGAAAAATCGCTATGCGATGCCATCGTTATGCGGGGGTCCACTGTATAGTCAAAGTTAGACAGGAAATGGCAGACACTTCCACTGCTGCCTCTGCCACCATATTATGGCCTATTTTATTCATTCTAGAGTATATATCATGTTTCTGTGTTGGTTATATTGTTTATTATGTTTCTTATGACTGTTTTGGTCATATATATACGTTTTACGACCCAGTGTTTTGGACGTATATATACTCAATAATTCTAGCGGCTTCAAATCAAGCAGGAGAAAGCTAGTGGGCCCACATGTGAGAGAATGGGTCTGTGTGGTCAGTGTGCACCACATAAAAAAAATCCTGCAGCACAGTGCATGAGAAAAAAACTGATTGTTTTTTGGATTAAAACTCCGACTTTGAGGTGTATTTTCATATAGTATTTATCGTTGTATTCTCGTATTCATGGTCTCACATGATAAAATGGAAAACGTATTGCAGAAATAGAGATGATTTTGATTAGTTTCATGATGAAAACGACCTTGAAATTGAGCTCAAAGTAGCGGAAATGTTCGATTTTTACTAGTGTTCAAGAGTAAGCAAATCACACCACACGTCCAATACATGTCAACTGGGGAGTCTAATATTCTTTCACTAGTGCACTGATATTATTTATACCATTTTTACAATAATGCATTAGTCTGCATAACAGTAAACTTTGTATTTTTTGTTTGAATAAAAAATCAAAATAGAAAGCAGTAGTAATATAAGAGGGGCCTAGAGACGTGACTAATGAATAGAGGATATGTTATTTTAGTGCCAAGAATGTCTACATTGTTTATTCTGGACCCTATTTTGAAATTGGCATCTTTTTTAATTTGCATGAAATTGGCCAAATTGCCAATTTCTGACCACTTCATTGGATAGTTCAAATCGGTAAATGGGCAGTTTCTTGTACTCAGTTGATAGAATAAATGGAGTTCTGAAGAAATAACTATGTGTTTGGTCAACTGGAACAATGGAATTGGCCAAAAACAGGGCTCAAAGTCGGCAAAATCGCCCATGTGTATATGTCGCCGAGACCGCTAACTTCATGGGAGCGTAATTCCGCGAGTTTTTTACTAAATTTTGTACTTTCGATGTCATTACCATTGGGAAAAGATTCTCTATCATTTCATAAGAAAAAATAATTTTTTTTTCCAAAAATTTTGCAACATAGAATGACAGTTTCAGAAAGGGGCTTGCAACAGTCAAAGGGTTAAACTCATAAGTCAAGGTTCCACTGTATTAGGTTTAGTCAGCCCAAAATGCCTTGGTATGATAGTGGATTTCTTTGCACTTGCAAGTCAATATTGTAATTAAACATTGTAAACTATACATGGAAATAGACTCCTTAGAAAATGTCAGTCACACATTGTAAACTTTGCAAAGAAATAAAAATTTGAATTTTGAATTTGACCTCTAGCACTCCAAACGTAGATCAACATTTTGTTTTTCCTGCCCCCAAATTTGGCACGATTGGCCTGAGATGCCTGGTCTGTATAGAATGGGTCTTAGCACTTGGTGTGCACAGTATTAAAAAATCTAGAACCATTTAGTACCTTGTGGGAGCACCAGTTCAATTGAGTGCCAGTTAGAGCAAATAGCATGGTAAACACCAGGGATTCACTGATGCCATGTTGTATTAACACTCCCCTTGTAACCCTTAAACTGTCCAAATGTAGATCTACGTTCGCTCGCCCAGTGCTCCGAATATTTTGATTTTTTGTTATTAATCCTTTGACTGTTGCGGTCGTGTATACGTCTTACGAGCCAATGTGTTTGATGTATATATACTTAAAAATTCTAGCGGCTTCAGATCAAGCAGGAGAAAGCTGGTAGGCCCACATGCGAGAAAATGGGGGGTGTGTGTGGTCAGTGTGTGCATATGAAAAAAATCCTGCAGCATGCAGTGCATAATGAGAAAAAAAAACCTCCAACTGTGGTTTTGGATTAAAACGCCAACTTTGAGGTGTATTTTCGTATAGTATTTATGGTTGTAGTCTTGTTTTCTTGGTCTCATTTGATAGAATGGAAAACATATTGTAGAAATAGAAGTGATTTTGATTGGTTTTTACTATGAAAGGGATTTTGAAATGAAGCTCAAATTGGCAGAAATGTTTGATTTTTGCTGATGTTCAAGAGTAAACAAATTGCTCAATAAATGTCCAACTAGCCATTCTAATATGCAGTCACGAATGGATTGACATTATTTATACAATTATTACAATATTGCAGTAGTCTGCATAACAGTAAATCTACTATTTTTTGTGTGAATAAAAATTCAAAATAGAAAGCAAGATTATTATAACAGGGACCTAGAGATGTGACTGATGAACAGAGAAAATGTTACTTTAGTGCCAGGAATGTTTGCATTGCTCATTCTGGACCTATTTTGAAATTGACATATTTTTGAATTGGCATGAAATTGGCCAAATTGCCAATTTCTGATCACTTTATTGAGTAGTTGAAATTGGTAAATTTGCAGATTCTTGTACTCCATCGATAGAACAAATGGAGTTCTTAGATGAATGGTTCAGAGAACCGACATGTTGATAAATTAGACACATGTGCAACTCTTGGGTATCAATAAAGATACCCAAGAGTTGCACATGTGTCTAATTTATCAAATGGAGTTCTAAAGAAATAGTTAGGAGTTTAGTTGGCTGGAATAATGGTATTGGCCAAAAATAGGGCATAGGTCGCTAACTTCGTGAGAGCTTAATTCTGTAAGTCTTCCATCAAATTTCATACTTTTGGTGTCATTATTATCAGGAAAAGATTCTCTATTATTTCATAAGAAAAAATATTATTTTTTTTTCCAAATATTTTGCGACACCAGGAGACACTTCAGGATTTGGTGTTGCAACAGTCAAAGGGTTAAAGAGAGCCATTTTCTGTGTGTAATAAGACGAAAAAAAAAAATT